AGTCCTTCATTGCAGTACCTTGCACTCTCATTCTTTGGGTTTTGCACATAGTTTTTTTCCCCTTGTATGTGTTCCCTTCTCTAGTCCATCCAGCCTAACTCTTATTCATCTTTTAAAACGCCAACTCAGAGTTTACTCTTTCCCTGTAGCACAGCTAGAAGGTCAGCTGGATTATTTCCCATTACATATCTGTATTTGAAAGAAAATGATACAAATTAATGTCAGCTATCTAAAAAAAGAAATTTTAATTTAAAATGTATTTTTTTTTTTCAGTGAGTGGTTATAACCCCTAGATATAGTTTTCAATTACCAGAGACTTTATTTTTTCTCAGGGCAGTCTTAGCTATATGGGGCCACTCAGGGGTACATCAAGATTTATATTTAAGAAAAAAAAAATACTGAGCACCCATTTCTGATGGAGTGTCCTTTTATGCCCAGTTGGATGTCAGAATAATCCTTTGATGCTTGCAGTCTCATTTTCATTTGATTTAGGTAGCAGCAGAATTATTACAGAAGACCTAGATCCTAGGATTTCCTGGGCTGCTCCTAATTCTAAACTATTCTTTTACAAAGAAGTTATTTCATCAACTTGGCCTGCACTTCCCCCCTGTTTCCACTCCTCCTCTCCGCATACACTAGAACTTGAAAAGACCTCTTCTGAATTCCAAAATATGGCCTTGCCTTGAGCCTCTATTCTATTCTCTTCTCATCTTTGACTTCCATGTTTTTCTTCTCATCTACTATTTGTGAAACAAACACTGGTCAGGTAATTCTCTCTCTCTGTCTCTCTCTTTCTCTCTGGCATTCTGCTAAGCTCTGGGTTGGGTCTACCTTCAGTGAATTCACTCCTGTGGGGTACAAGAGAGCTCATCAGCAACATGGTACAGTGTGACAGGACCGCTAACAGAACTACTCACACTATGTGAGGAGAAAACCAAGAAAGAACTTTTAAAACACACGGGTGGGCTGAGTGCGGTGGCTCAAGCCTGTAATCCCAGCACTTTGGGAGGCCGAGGAGGGGGGATCACCTGAGCTCTGGAGTTGGAGACTGACTTAGCCAACATGGTGAAATCCCTTCTCTACTAAAACAAAAATAGCCGGGTGTGGTAGCATGTGCCTGTAATTCCAGCTACGCAGTGAACTCGGATGGAACCACTGCACTCCAGCCTGGGTAACAGAGTGAAACTCGTCTCAAAAAACAAACCAACAAACCAACCCCAAACAACAAAAAATGCATGAGTAAAGTGCTTCTCCCATTCTTCTTGTCACAGTCACATGTGCAAACACAGGTACATGTACACACACAGATTTTCTTTTGTGACTTGGTAGAAATATTTGCATATATAGTTTTAAAAAATGACATGGCATAGTTTTCCTTAATATAACTAATTTTTCATACCAGCGTTATTGACCCATATTGAATGCTGAATAAAGTGAAGAATATAATTGAAATGAGCTAATAAAATCTAATTGATTTAAAGCCGGGCAGATTTGCAATCGGAAAATCATTCCATAAACTCTTCTGAGGGACAAGTCATGGCCTATAGTAATCAGCTAATTGATCAGTAAGATACAGAAATACAGGAGTGTCAATACTTTTGAGATATATTATTTTCACATATCACATCTTTACAGTTTAACATCTTACATCTTGCATGAATTTTTATGTTTCCTTAAGTTAAACATTTTAAATGAACAGTTTATAGTACTTTTTACAATTAAATGATAGTTTCAAAACTAAGGAAAAGTACTTTAACTCAGATACTTATAATCTATAAAAAGAACATATGTACTTAAGTTCAGTATGTAAGGAAAATTAGTTGAAAATCTCACTCTTACCTAACAGTCGTTGAAGGTCCACCTGTGTCCAGGTCAGTAGCTACAAAGTCTCCCACTTTGTAATTTGATCCCATATTACCAGTTACAACATATGTCTTTGAACCTGGACGAAACACTGCGCCTTCAATTACATTTAACACAGTCACAGTAATTGCAGTTGCTGTCAGTTTATACTGAGACATAATTGAATGATGAAATTCAGCTTTATTTCTGACACCAATACTAAGTTGCAGATTCTGCATAGCTTCATAATCTAAGGGCTAGAAAATACAGAGTAAAATAGTTTTAGTATAAGAAGAGAAAATGTTCCAGGTGAAAGAGAAATCCTTTGATAATAGCAAAAAAAAAAATGATTCTCTTTCTTTTATGAAACAAAAATGCACACAAATACACAATTTTTAATCTTTAATTGACGTAAATTTGTGCAAATAAAGTAAGAAACAATTCAATTGCCCTAGAGTCATTGTTGAAAAGTTGCAAATGTATGATATGAGCTCTAATTGTTCACCAAACAAATTAAAAACTTAAAATAATATGGATAGTCAAATTTGTGTATTTTTTAGTGCAAAGGCAATTTATCTTACCTTCAATCATTTTACGTTTTTCAGAAAGTAGCTATTTATTACACAGTATGGGTCAAATATATTAGGGTTTCAATCATTTGAATGGTTTTATCTATAAGAACTATTTAGAAGAAATTTCACATCTGTAAGTGTGACTCTTTGAACAAATCAGATAATATAATGTAATATATATACTATAAAGAAATATTTTCTTCAACTTGTTCTAGGAAATATTTATCTCATAAAATAATCAAGTAGTGATTTTCTTTATGAAAAATGATATTAATATCTACAACACATAAAATCCACAAACAATTATGCCATTAGGCCCATATATACCAAATATATTTTTCTAAAATTTCACAAGAGTAATTTAGATAAAAATAGAGATTCACGCATTGAGCTCTCTTATTTAGCTAAAATTTTGAACCTTTGTTCTAATGTTGGTTTTATTTGCAGTTCAAAGAATGGCTGTAAAATCAAATGTATGTATACATTACACACATATAAAAATATGTGTGTATATATATATGTGTGTGTATATATATATAGCTATAACAAAGGATTTAATATATGATATGTCTGGGCAAACAATTATCATTCCCATTTTACAAATAGAGATATTGAGGACAGATAGGCTGAATAATTTTCTAAATAATATAATAGTTTGGGGCAAAATAGATTAGACTCCAATTTCCCCAGTATTGAATCCTAAATAGTATCATGGAAAGAATGTGAGCTTCATATCTAGAGAAAACTAGGTTTAAATGTTGGCTGTACTACTTACTAGCTATGAGAACTTACGCAGGTTCTGTGCTCTCTTGGAGCCTCAATGTCTTTATCTGCAATATGGAAATAATATAACCTAATTTGCAGGGATGCTTTGAGGGATAAACTAAAGCACCTGCACACTGTATCAAGTTAAATATAAGCTGTAGGCATGGTGACACTTTAAGAAGACACAGGGGCTAAAATGTTAGAAATTATCTATACTCCATCTCACTGTGGCTGCCTGATCAAGGCTTGTTAGGGAACACACGATATACTGGCAAATTTGGTCCAAGTCAACTGTCCAGAACAACTGAATGCTCTTATGTCCTCCCATATTAATGGTCCACGTTTACCCTGCAGTAAAATTTCATGAGATGTGAGAAAAAAAATTTGCCTCTCTAGGGAGCTGATATGTCAAGTTTCTCCCTGTGCTACAACAACTTGTAGAGTCCATTTTTAAATATTTTACAACAGCTGTGCATGGATTGTATATGTTCATGCATATGTATTTTCATGGTAAAAATATAATCCTTATTTAACTATTCTTTTTCGAAATTGGTCTGGAAAACAGACTCTCAAACAACTCTGGTCCCCATAAGAATCTGCTGACTTTTTGCCTCTGTGTCTTCTTTTTTTTTTTTTTTTTTTGAGACGGAGTCTCGCTCTGTCGCCCAGCTGGAAGTGCAGTGGCCGTATCTCACTCACTGCAAGCTTCTGCCTCCTGGGTTTACGCCCATTCTCCTGGCCCTCAGCCTCCCGAGTAGCCGGACTACAGGCGCCCGCCACCGCGCTCCCGCTAGTTTTTGTATTTTTTAGTAGAGATGGGGTTTCACCGTGTTCACCCAGGATGGTCTCGATCCTCCTGACCTCGTGATCCCCCTTCTCGGCCTCCAAAGTGCATCTTGGATTAGCAGGCTTGAGCTATCCCGCGCGGCCTGTGT